ATGGCATGTAATCTTCCATGCCGCGGCAGCGCGCGCAACCTAACATAACCGCTCGTTTACTCTCATCGGCAAAAACAACTAACAAGGAGGGGCATATCGCATGCGGCCGTGAGAGCCGCGCGTGAGGGAGGACATAAAAGAAGCTCGAATGAAGAAGGAAGGGAGGTGAGCATGTGGGTGCAGGAGAAGGAATAATTTAATGGCACTCCCGGACCGGTAAAGGCGTCCCCGCTCTGGTTTCTTCTTCTTCCAATGGAGGTGCCACGCTGTCCCCCGTCTATTATTAATGCGGGATTAATGGTAATGACACGCCGCACGAAGAGAAGCGTCGAGCGACGCGGCCGCACACCCCGGAGTCACCTGCACCACGTGCCCATGCTCACCGAGCTCTTCGGGGAAGGTCATCTGTACGACGCTACCTCCCCCCCCCCTCAAACTCCCACCTCAACAGCAGCTTCTCAGCGATCCCATGCCCTTCTTTCAATATCGCTCGCTGCTTCTGCTGCATCTGCTTCCTCCGCACCGTCTTCTTCTTTTGCTTCCTCTTTACCTGGGTCGCCTTTCTTCTCGTTTCATTCTTTGCATGTTTTCTTTTTCCCTTGCGTTTCTTTACGTTTCGAAGATCTGGTGGTGCTGAGAACACTATGCGACCGTCTCCTGGCGAAGCTGGCCACGCTGATAGATTAAAAACGGCTACCGTTCCCTCCTATCGCCATAACCTCCTCCTCTTCCCCTACTCTGTCCACATCGCCCTGAGGTCATACGCACCATCTTCGAGGGACCTTATTGGCCCGAACGACGTCGCCGATCTGCTTCTCTCCCTCTCCCCAAATAGCAGAGACAAGTACGGCACGGTCTACTGACGTCGAAGAGGACGCGGTCGCCTCTGGCAATGCGCTAGCATATGTACAGCATCTATCAATGCGGCCTGCCCGAACGCTCTGGGCGAGCCGGGCCCGCTGCTGTAACCAGCGAGCACCCCTTTTTGCACGCCCCGCAAACTGCGAGGGACCGGGCAAATATGTACAGCGTACAAACAACGGGTCTTCAACTCGCTCGCTTCCCTTCCTCGAACACACTTCGTAAGCGCGAAGCATACATTCGTTCTTGCGTTCTCTCTCGCCTTCTTGCTTCGAGCCGAGGGAGAGTGTATGCGCGTATGTGTGGCTTCATAAAGCGCGCATGAACACGTTTCGGCGCCTGCCATTTCGCTACGCTTGGCGTCGGGAGCGTGAGAAAAGGTTCTGGGAAGGACAGCGACGGCTGCTACTGTTCGGAGCGCTAACTTATATATAGTGCGTCAGTGGCGCATCTGCTGTGTACACGTGGTGCCGGCGGCGCTGCTCTACTGGATGATTTTGTTTCGGACCCTGCGATAGAACTCTCCGCCTAGACTGCTGGATCGAACGACGTTGCATGCAGCCGCGGCCGATAATTGCGGACGTGTACGGTTTGTGTCCCGTACGCGGAAAAAGAAAAAGGGTTGCCGCGCGAGAGGCGCGAAGTAGCACGTGTGCCGTACGGTGCCGAAGCGAATCGCTCACTGGAACGGTGGGAGGGGTCATGGGAATCGTACACGCGTAGGCATCGTCCTCAGCTGCGAATGATTTGCCACCGGCGTTTGGGACGCAATTACTTGTCGTTCGCGAGGAGACCGTTTTCTCGCGTGCTCGTTTAATTTGTTGCGTGAGAGAAGTGAGGGATCGTTCGAACGATATCGACTTTAGTACTTGTCAAGGAGGTAGTCGATAAGATCACCACGGCAGCATCGCTACATTGATCAGCGTGTTGTTCGCTCGGTGATTTGCAAAACGTTATACAGACGTTTTCGAGGACTTTCCCAAGGTATAGTTACATTGAATTGCAGAACGCAAATGCAATTCGCCTCTTTGCGTAGCAGTTGCTTGTGTAATGTCTAGCATTGTCTTAACAGGAGTTGCGCTTTTCTCCGTCAGGAACAGGCTACCAGAACTTAGCTCTAAATGACTGCTGCTTTCCGACCAAGAAGCGCTTGCCATAATATATTGACCGACAGACGTGACGAGATGCATTCTAGATTATTCACTTCGCATTCAAGTTGTCCGTTTAGCCAATGCAAGAATGATCATAGCAGACCATGAATCGTGGACTTACATTCTTTCTAGGCAAGGCTCCATTTGTGAGATGAACATTAATTTCCCCTTCCTTACAATGAGGATAATAAAACGGGCACTGAATTTGAGAAATATTGTGAGCTCGTGTCATGTTTATAGTACGACTTTGCAAGCTTCCGAGGCAAAGACCTCTATATATATTTTTTAAAAGCCCTAACTCTTTTACTTTATTAGATGTTCGAGCTACGTGATATACGGTGATAACTATACGCTTCTGCATCCACAAAACTGTTACTTTTCGAGCGTGAAGTTGCAAAAATTTGCGAGCGAAACTGGGGCCGTTAAGATGGTTTGGGTATATCAGCACAAGATGACAAATGAGCATCTCGATGCTAGATATACCAATAAGTGCTAAAAGAGTCCGGAAGGGACACGAAGACATAATAGCAGCTTCACGTGGCTTCTGGAGTTATCTACTGAAGTGGTGAAGAAGACCATATATATATATATATATATATATATATATATATATATATATATATATATATATATATATATATATATATATATATATATATATATATATACCACAAATTGAAACGAAACGAAGCGTGCGTAGTACGAGTAACACATACAGCGCACACAGCGTGTTTCATTGAAATGTTTGTCGTGGCACACACATGTGCCGATGTGTATGTGCCCCTCATAAATAGAATGTTATGAAATTTTCGTTTCTTGTGCGTAATGTAAATAGGCTTTTTTTAAAGAGGAGTCTCACCGCTTCTGCAGCATAAACACCTTCTTTGCAACTTTATTCCAATTTGCTCAAATATTTAAATTGTTCGCGGGAGATAAATGGTGAACCTTGTTGGAAAATGATTTTAAAAAAAACGTCATGTATGTACCTTATGGGCATATCCGTGGAACTGTATTTTATTGTGTTGCAATGTGAAATTTCCGATGAACTAAATTTATTGTGAGAACAAAACCTCAGCTATTTCTTGGTCATCTTTGCTGTAGCTATAGTGTTTGCAATCTAAGAATAAGTACGGTCTCCACTCACAGCCACCACTTTCCCACCCCAAGAAATTTCCATAGACGTTTCATTCACACAGGGAAGTTTATTGCATGCTATAGTGACCCAGGCCCGTCGCTGGATGTTTTTTTTTTGTAGGGGAAGGGGCTGCACTTGTTGAAGGCCTTGAAAACACATGCTTCTTATTTTTTCCTCTGTAGAACACCCTATTCTATCTGAATTTAAGGGATAGTTTTCGATATGCGCGGTATTTACAGTAGCACAGAAGAAGTACCTATGGTTCCAAAGCAAGCCAGCTTGCATGATTCTCCTACAGAGATTATTGGCAAGCGTACTACTGTTCTGCGGGCGGAGTTTATATATATTCTTAGGTCGTAATCGACAATAGAAAATATTGCAAGCATCTGCAAAGCTTTGAACGTGTAACAGCGCAGCTAATCAATGGGGCGCGACAGATTTCTTGTGAGATTGCTACCGCAATACGCATGTCTCTAATTTGTTGGCGGATATTGGGCACAAAGCGTTCAACTGTCCCCTTCTAAGCGGCGCATCCGGAAGCACAGTCCATACCACCCCACCACACATCGTCTTCCCGCGGTACATAAGGTCACTGACTGTGGCTCGGGCAGCGTCTTCCTCACGAGCAAGTGAGGCAGGGGAGAAGCGTGGTCGGGAGATTCCCCAAGAGGGGGACGAAAAGGCGATAAGGAAAGATCTACGGCGCGTCGGGACGTTAAAGAGCCTGTCGTCCGACGCGGCAACGCAAACACGCGCGCCTTTCTTCTTCCTCCCTATACACGACGGCAAGCGACGACACAATCGCCCTCGGAACGCCGCCTCTCGGTCCTCGGCCCGAACGCGTGTTAAACAGCGTCAACAACACTTGCTTCCCGTGCCGAGAAAAGAAACAAAGGGATAGAATAAAGCGAAGGAATGGCGGGAGACTCCCTGGAAAGGGGAGCACCGAGACAACTCTCCTGGTCTCTGCAGTTGCCTGCCCGCTTGAGTCCTCTGTCGTAGAAAAGGAAGAAGAAAAGGGGCGGGTTCGGCGACGGATGGTGCATTCGGGATCAGTCTGTGCGCTTCTCGCGCAACGGAGACGAGTGAGAGATCTTGTTCACTTCGTCTGTGAAGCTTTCTGTTTCGCTTTTTCGCTCTAGAAGGGGCTGTTTCGAGTCGCGTTTTTCCCAAACAGCAAAGAGGAGTAAGCCGCAGTGTTAGCAGTGGGTTTAAGAGGGTCGCGCGGGAGTTTGTGTGACCGAACCGACGCCCCCGGTTGGCAGCCGCAGTTTCGGTCAGAGTTGTTTACCCGAAGAGCTTGTTGTGCGGACTGTCATCGCGGCTTTTCTTGTGGGAAACCCGCGGAACATGATCAGACTTGGCAAGTGTGCGCACGTTTTACTGCTGAGCTCCGTGTTGGCGGCCAGGGAGCAGGGGGAGATTATACTAAGCACGCACACACATCTACGGGGCACAAAGGAAAGGACGGTGTACACGCTCTGAATATTCGATGTTCTGTGGCGCGTGCGGTCGGATTTGGGAGAGCAGTGGTGTAGGGCAGTCCTTCTGGAAAGTCCCGTTATCTTTTTGTGCTCGATAGTGGTTTTGTCTATCCGTCCCGTCGGTCCTTCTTACGGCATCTCTATGCCCACGCAATGTCGATTACAAGTGAAGCTGCACGCCAGCTTTGTGAATGGTTGTAGACGTGCAATGGTTGTAGACGTTACTTTGAATGGCACCGTGGCAGCTTTATCTAGATAAAGGGCCATGGCACTCTCCTTGGTGTTTGTGAGTTTGGTTTCTACGAGAATCTTTGTTTCTGCGAACAGTCCTCACAGTTGTTGATTTCTTTCGCTCCTTTCTGTGTGCAGGCAAGAGCTTCACCATTACCATCACACTGAGCACGAACCCGCCGCAAGTGGCCACGTACACCAAGGCCATCAAGGTCACCGTCGACGGACCCCGGGAACCACGCAGTAAGACGCGTACGTACTTCCTCGAAAGACGGGACCGCGGCCACCAGTGGTATTTCTTTTTGACACGATTCCATTTCGATTCGATCGAGATTCAAATTACAACCAACTGGGTTCATGCGGACCGACAGGCCATGAGCAGTCCTCACTAATTTCCAAAGGACATCGCAGCGTAGCAGGTTCCAGAACGAACATCTACACTGAATTGCAAAAAAAAAAGAAGAAAAAAACCACACTTCCAGAAATAGCAAGGCTGTAAGTATCTTCGAAATCCTCCATAATGATCAGGAGAGGGGGCTCACTGCTTCTTGACTATCGTTTATTTCGAGTAAAGCTCGCAGAGTGGAATCGCCAGAAAGGAATGCCAACTGGAATCGTGCCTTATGAGAATGCAGGAACGTAGTACTTTGCGCACGTGGCTGCCCGTTTGTATACGGAAACAGGATAACTGGTCCAAACATATAGCCTGGCTATGCTTGTTCATCAACTTTTAAAGCTGTAAATTAAAGCTCAACGCCGATAATTCGAGCGGTGTATGTATAATCAGCAACTATCACAATCGTTAACCTGCATGAAAGAATTGAAAATATATATGTTTGTGGGCTCCAGCCGATGTATCGAAAACCGGAGTTGTGTTTCTGGATGCTTGAACTGAAAATGACGGAGAAATTCAAATCCGATTCCAAACATAGAAGTTTGCTTAGTAGTCATTACATCTGAATGCTATATGTGACAGAGAGGCAGCACCTTATGTTAAAAGTTATACGTAATGTAAGGAAGGTGATACAGCCTATGTGAAAATATAATTGTACTATGAAGGGACAGCTGTTGGTTTCTCGCAGTGCAGGCGCCCTATTGCGGCTGCTTTGGAGTACACGTACTATTCGTAACGTGGCAACGGAATACACGTTCAGAGGTCGAAGGCATAGGTCGAAAGCGATTTCCCAGTTCGGTCGGCTCCACTCCACATCAAGCCGGAAACGGAAATCGGATGTATACCTGTGCATAGCGCACACAGAATAGGAGGAGGCCAGATTCGAGACGCGGTCGAATTCATTAATATATAGAGCAAACTAAATTTTTAGTAAATTATAAAAAGACTATTTATGTGTCACAACCACACCTGCGTGGGCTAAGCAACGAGAAGAGGGAATCATTTTTTACAAATGATTCTATTGAGCTGCGAATGCTTGGACGTCGACGCCACGACACTGCACCTTCTTCCTTTTAATGCAAAAATATTTGAGAGGGTGCAACAGCATGCAAAGTGTACATAATTAAATTTTTAAATAACGTGTAGGTATGTACAGTTCTTGCTGGGCTTCAAACTTATTAACCAGTTCAGAAGCGGATTAGAAATACTTTCACTTTGTTTATCCGGCCGCTAATCCATGCCGGTTTTCATTGCGGTGTATCATGCGGCCATAAGCAACTACAGAGATATGAACGGAACTATACGCCGAAATTGGTGGCGCCGTGAGACTTTTGATTTATGTGTGCCCGTACATATAGATAAGCCATCCTATACAAATATTGCACAGGGCACAGGAGCTGGCGTGGAAGGCTATTGAAAGTTGGTGTTGGGCGCAACGTGTACGTTGCGCCCAACGTATTACGGTCGCTAGGGAATTCGAAATTGGAGCCGGCCGCGGGCCACCGCCAACGCGTGGTCCACCTTTAATCAAGTGTCGTCGTCGTCCGATGCAGCCTAACTCATTTATGGCTCGGGAAGATTAATTAGCGCCACCTTTCCTCCTCCCTTCTCTACGCGCGGAGGGTATGCTTTGCCTTCGCCCCTTTATCAACTGCGCCACTGTCGCTTCTTACCCTCCCCCAACTCTTCAATATACCGCGGCACTGCATGAGAGCCGCACATATGACAGTTTCCGTCAGCTCAACCGCTCGATACGATGACTGTCGGGTCCGCTGGTGCGCATCGGTCAGGGAACTATGCGCGGAAGTTAACTTACGGGAGAGAAACAGAGAAAAAGAGACGGAAAGACAAGGAGTTTAATCAGACGCACGTCCGATGTACTGCCCTGCCTTGGGGTAAGGAACTGAAGGTGAACAGAGGACTACAACGCACTTGAAGTTGAGCGTCGAGTCTACAAGCAATACAAACATGGCAGAAGTTAAATGGAAACCCGAAAAAGGGAACATTCTCTAACACTGTCGGGGTGTAGCTGGAATCTACGTTTCGACAACGGGTTTTGTCGTCTTCAGGTGGTCTTGTCTTAAAGACTCAGAAGTTGAAGAAGACGAGATCGCTGGTCGAGACATTGGTTCCAGCGACAACCCGTGTTCAAGAACGTTCACCTCTTCAAATCCAAATGCGGTCATGAAGACCTGCCGAGCGCACGTATACGCTATAAGCGCCTTCGTTGCTTTCTGCGCCGTCAACGCGTGCTGTCATGGTCTGAAAATTTGGACTTCTCGAAAGTAGTCTGGGCTGCTGTTGGTATGTAATTAGTATTACCATGCTAAGCTGGTATCTCTATAGCTGTCTTAGCGAGCGCGAGAGTTGCATGCGTGTATATCGTGGAAGTGTGCGGGACCTTACCGAATCATTTTTTTTTGTTGTGATGCAATATTGAGAAGAAGAACTGTAGACCTATACGCATATCAGATCGAGTGCACCGTTGGCGCCGAAAGTCACAAAGTCTGTGAAAACTTTTAATTTATCGGCTTTTTGTGACTACGTTTGATCAAACGGCAAAATACGTGTTGTTACAGCGTTTAACCGACAAGAAATTTAGCCGACATGTTCAGCCTTTTTCTTGTGTGACTCCTCCTCCTACAGTCACGATCCGTGCCAAGAATAGTTTGCTGCCACGAAGTTTCATAACGCGACAAGCGTTCTTGTATGGACTAGACTCACAGTTCTTGCATCCTGCGAACAATACCGAGACAACGCGTCCGAATCACAAACATTCAAACAGGGACACGTGCGCCCACCAAGTAGGACGTTTTCTTCGCATTCTGTTGCAACCTCTTTTCTTCTCTTTATCTCTTCCCCAGTGCAGGGTAGCAAACCGGGCGTGTGTCTGGTTAACCTCCCTGCCTTTCCTTGCATCTTTATCTCTCTCTCTCTCTCTCTCTCTCTCTCACTGTTGCACGCCGATTACTCGGAAGCCACGGTGCGGTGAAATGGCAGCAGCGGCTACACAAATGAATTTGAATCGCCAAGAACCCGCACCTGTACCCTCACCCTTCGCACGATCGCGAATTAGACGTCACCCATCACGATGTGCGCGTGCTCCTTTTATGTCACCTCGTTCTCCCAGAACGTGCCGCACGTATACTGTGTAGCACACACTGGCATACCCGTCATAATGACCCTCGCAATCTAGTTCCGCACCGCAGTGGCACATGCATACGGGCATCGTGCCTGAGCGGCTGACAACCAGGACGGCCGAAATAAATTGACAGGGTGGACGTATGTGGCGCCCCTGGCAGCAACAGTGGAGGGAACGCAGTACCTATTATACAATTTGGCGCGAAGCGCCGCACTGCTTTGGAAGCCTTATTTGTGGTGTTGCCCTCATTAGCTTCCTATAATGCGCGTACGAACCAGAACATATAGAGGCGGCAGTGACAACGGTGTAAGCCTTGGCGCACCGGCGACCGGAGATGATAGACCGACGACGATATATACCCGGACTTTTAAGATAAGTGCAATCACACGCCATAGGGAAATTGCGGTACCCGCATGAACGCGTCGTATACTGCCGGCGGACTCGTGGTCTGCCTGGATATGTTATGTTCACCGTTTTCCGCATGTGATGCCGTGTGAGCTGCCATGCGCGCTCGGTTCGGCTGAAGCGTCCGCAGCGTGTTGTTCGCCAGTGCCCATGCATGTACGCGCATGCGCACGGCCGAGGTCGTGACGTGGTACTTATATAGACGGGACACGCGCAATGGAAGCACGGCGCGGCCGGCGGCGGCGACCGGCGGCTAATGCTGTCATTTGCGGATCGAGAGAGCGCACGCGCATGGTTCTGGAATTACGCTCGCAGAGCGTCGTGATGAGGAGGATAGGGCGGCGACGCCAATATGTGACTTTCGAGACTGAAGCCACGTGCAGAGTAGCTCGATGGACGCACAAACATCAACCTCCTGGTTAGGATTTCGGATCACTTGCTCTGGCTTGGTTTGTGATGTTGGTGGTAATAATCGTGATAATTCAGTGCTGCCCATATAAACGCTATTGTAAACGTTTGATATACTAGGAGAGATAGTAAACGAAGGACAGTCATACCAGCCCCAGGCCAACCTGTGGTCACCTTCGGCTTTCCGACCAGGCAATCAAAGCGCATTACGGATGGTTGTGAAAGTAAACCCGCTCCCTGGTTTTATACTATCCAAAGTGTTTTTGCAAAGGTAAAGACAGTGGAGCGAAACTAGGTATGCGCGTTGGTTAGCTACTGTAACTCGTCATGGTTGCGACACTAGCATGCTTAGATCGGTGTTTCACCATGTAGCGTGTGAGAACTGTAAAGAAGACATACATCCAGAGCTTCCATATACACACGTCCCGTGAAGCTTCGAAACGTTTGAGATTAGCTATCTTACGGGGCCTATATTGGTATACGTAACAGATCAGTTCAGTGGTCACCGAATAGTGAAAGTAACTGAAATTATATCCTGACCTTATCTGCAAGGCCATAACAATACTGCTCCTGGAGCTTCACACGACACGCATATGTATCAGTTAATTGCCTCTCATTTCTTCCACAGTACCTAGAATATTTATTGGATGCGCGTCTGCAGCACTACACCAACCTGACTGGACTGTACATGGTCACCTACTTACCTCCGCATCGTAATCCATTACTTCTATTCTTCCCGATTCCCGTACTCCAGTATAGAGCAGCAGACTATAAAGCATACTATCGCTCAGGCCGACCTCAATCCTTTCTGTGAATAAAGCACTGTTTTATGACATGAGGGTTATGTTACATGAGCCATAGAAAACGGACAATAGACTGGAGGTAATGGTTGTCGGTGTATAG